CGAGCGTCCAATCTTCGCCGAAGGGGCTGAATGCCGCACTTTGACCAGCGCGTACACCTCGCTGACGATCGATTATTTTCCGCCGATTCTGCACGCTTTGTCACCACCGTTGTTCGGTGTATTGCATACAGGGTGAATCATAAGCCACGCACTACATTGGATTTAAAATCAAGCGGCCATTTCTCTTGGGAGAAATGACTGAATTCGATGTCTTTATAAAAATTTTCCTAATTCCTCTTTGGAATTTCCAGCATTCACCATGAAAACGACTTATCGTGATTTAAATCAGATCGCAATTAATTTCGCATCGGACTATGAATCTGCCATTTGTGGTGCGGCTATATATCTAAAAAATTATCGTGATTTAAAAATGAAAAAAAAAAAAAAAAATGTATTGTTACATTAGTATAAAAGTTTTCAAATTTTTACAATAATATATAGAACACCATGTATAATGTACACGCAGTCGCATTAAACGTATACACTAACGTAAGTAATATGATATCCCTAGTTTTCGCCGTAATAAACGGAAAAACTTTTCCACCAAAGCTATAGCTAATCATGGTGGTACTATTGCGGGGGTAAGGAGATGGATATTGATCCAATCAACCCCTTTTACGTACAGTTCTAGAATATCTACTTGTCACACAAAAGCAACATTTTCGATGTTCAAAAACTCTCTCTAACAACAATGATACATCTGACTCTTGCATATAATTATAACATTTTTCTTAGACTTATATACTTATAAAAATATATTTATGGAAAATGTGATATAAAAGTAATGTGCTAAAATACCTAATTATAAATTTTTAAAAAATTGACCGGTAAATATCGCTGAAAAATATTATTTGTTTGTTGTGAGCGTAACGTATCGTTGAATAAGTTACCGCTCGAACAACAGTAGAAAAAAGATTATGAAATATATTTGCAATCAAAAGATATGTACAAAGATAAAAAGAAACAAACTATCAATTAATATGCTGAATATTCTGATTCAAAAAATATTACAAATTTATCCAAAAAAATGTACAATTATAATACATTTAATTCTTTTATAAGTAAAACAACAATATTCTATATATGCTCAGGTTTTACAAAGTTCAGATTTCAGATTTTTATGTAACATATTTAGATCTAGAAAGACTTCTTGTGTTGTGAGTGAATAAACAGAAATTAATGTGATAATAAACAATCTTCCTTTGTATTAAACTCGCGTGTAGCCGCGTTAATTTGTGCCGACGAGGTATTATGTGGATGTAGGTCGGAAACATAATCAAACTTGTGTTGAGTACAATGTATACCATTGTATAAAATATCGCCATTTGCCGACTCCTTCAGTAATATTTTTTCTAGTTTCTTGCTTTGAATATATCATATATTAATATCTTCAAAAATATAAATTTCTGTTCTTTGTTTAATTTGGAGCAAATCTTCAATGTAATGTTAATTTAAAATTCAGTCACTTAGATAAATATCTTGAAACTTAAAAGATCATATAAAATAGTACCGCATTGCATCTTTATTATTTGTAAAACTTCTCACTATTTTGCTTGAAAAATATATTTTTCACAATTTTACACCACACTTTCATTATTTATAAAACTTCTCACTATTTTGTTTGAAAAACACACTATTCACAATTTTACACAGTCTTTTTCAGTAAACATACATACATAAACTTTTGTTTAAAAAATGTATGTCACACAGCAAGTTTCTTCACACAGATTAAAAACATTGTATCACAAACTTCAAATTTAAAATAAATCTGCGATAAACAAAGAGCCAAAACCAAACAAAACCAATATGTCTAATAGCTAATATATTTTACAGAATTTTTCATCATACCTCAGAGAAATGTTTTAATAGCAGTAAGATTATAATTATTCTAAAAAATATATAATTACTACATATAAAGAAAACTATCACTTTATATTTCAAAATGGAATCAACGATCGCGATAAGCGTTTACAACGCCATATTTGACCTCTCGAGAAACACTCTGAAGTTAACAAAAACCGAAGAAAGTCGAAATTGTTGTGAGGAAACACATTTCTAATTGAACGTCAAGGCAAAATGCTGACTGTCGTCGGGAATCAGATCAACAAAAGTTAAGAAATTAAATTGTAAAATTGAGATAAGTAGATTCGGATTGTAGGCCGAGTTGAGCGAGTTTTGAATCCGGCAATTTCTAAAAATAGCCGGATAATTCTTCAAAACTGCCAATTGGAATGAAAGTGCGATATTCATTGCAAGTAGCATTGAGAAATGGTAAATTCACATGAATAAAGATCACATGATCATTCACATTCTCGTTCAGCCATTACTGATAGGCAATGTGAACGAAGTATTCGGAATATACGTACGTACCAGACCTGTACTGAAGATCCTATCGGAATTAATTGTCACCAGTCGTCGGCACTCTGCTACGGGAGATTTTCCATCTAGTTATCACGTCGCATACTATCATGCATCTTATTATGCATAATTTAGCGATTCGAAACAGTAGAAAGACAGAAACCAAATGCAGTCGAATGCATGTAGTCTTTCATGGCGGTTTAACCGATGTGGCTCCAACGCTAGCGGCAGATGGCGCGAATGTTTGCCATGGGGGCGCCACTTGATTGAAAAATTTAGGTTCTCTGAGGAAAGATGAGAGCGAACAAAAGTGCTCGTAGATCATTCGTCGTTATTCGTCGCGTGACTATCAGAAAGCTGAGGATACATGGCGCGTGAAGCCGAAGCATCAGAATGTACGAAACGCAAAGCACGATGAAATCAAGGTGTAAGACTCGCTAATAAACGATTACGATTCAAGCCACGAATCGGTGGCTACGATCGAGATAGCAATAAAATCGAAAAATCTGAAAATTGGACGAATTTAAGAATATTTTGGACAAATATAAAAAGCATTTAAATATTGAAATCCTTCAATATTTAACATTTAATATATTACTAATAAGTTTTTAATATGCTCAATTAATTCAATTTATTTTGGATCAAGGCTATTAACTTAATTATTTAAAAAATGATCGATGATATATATTCAATGCAGAGAAACTTTCGAAATTTATAATAAAAAATTCCTTGATCTTCGATGCATTTTTGACATTCGTTTTTTCAATATTACAAAAAAATAACTCGAGCCTCGAGGATCTTGAAACTTTCTCAAATACAGCTGTGAAATATAGCATGTGTGCAAAAGTTTAATACATTTTGTTACGCCCATAAAAATAATTATGGTCGACGAACGTCACTAGTTACGTAAAACCATCGTCAGCAGCGATACATAACAAGCGAAATAAAATACATGTAAAATTACAAAACAACCTCTCGTTGTTCTTTTCTCCTTTGTTCTTTTCCGTTGTTGTGGAAAATCCTCGATGATGCACAACAGAGCACAACAGAGCACAACAGAGCGCAAACGTCGTCTCCTCGAGAATGTTATAGAGCTACAAAACTCATGTTGGGCCTACGAGTCGTACTCGTGTTGCACAATGGCGACTGCATTTGAGGATTGCTGCTCTCCACGCGATGACGATAACGAAAATTTTTTCGTAGCATATATCGCTATGCGAGAAAATATTGACATTTTACAAATTCACGTAACGAAAATACGGATTAAAATAATTTATGAAAATCTAGCTTACATACAGGAATACCTCTTTTAAAATACGATCGAACTATGAAAAATCTCGATGAACAACTACAAAATTATTATAATCAACGTAATTATTTTAATTATCACATATACAGGTAGGAATAAGGAGGCATGCAATCTTTCGCAAAAAGGAAGAAACAATTAAAGCGAACCTGACGTTCAATTCGACCGCACTGCACGATTTGCTCTCGAAGAGAAAAAAGGAAAGGAAAAGAAATACCTAAAAGAAAAAAAAGAGAAAAAAAAAGGACGAGAGGCAACTTTTTTTTTTGCGCACCTGATAACTCATTACATTCGCAGGCTGACAGCCGATAGCGCGTAGTAGATCATCTCCTGCTGCTCGGTACGATCCTGCGACTGGAGCGTTCCAGCCCTCTGTCTTTCTCTCTCTTTCTCTCCCTGCTCCGGCAACGATCGTGCAACGACGTTTCATCGACGCGGCTCCCTCCACGCTTTCGTGCACGCCGACGTGCACAAAAAGCTACACCACGCACAATGTCAGCAGTTACGTCGGCACTAGTCCCAGCTTACGAGGTCGAGAGATTTTCCTTTTCTTTTTTTTTTTTTTTTTTTTTTAAGGTTCCCGTCAGCGCTCTCTATAGTTCGTTTGCAACGCCGGTTGCGGGGAATTAGAACACCGACGAGGACAGCCGCCGCAACGACGACGAGCAGCGTTTCGGCGAGCTCGCTTTGTGCCAGCGCCGGGAGACGCTCGCCGTTGAAACCTCACGCGGTTGCACGATTGTAGCAGCGTCGCTCGGAGGAGCTAGGCGCTCCTTCTCCGTCAACATTGTTGGAAAGGCGAGAGCTGGGCGTTCGCTATCCAGCGTCAGTAATCCGTCTTTTCGGCGTAATCGATCTTACAGTTTGTGCCTTTGTGTCCCGTGATTCGACCCGAAGAGGAGAGGAGAATCACTCTCGCAGCGCATTCTCACTCTCCTTATGCATCCTTCCTGATCGCCTACGAATCTACTTTGTTAAGTAGACTCATGCGTGTGTAGCTCATTCCGTGTGCTTTCGTATGTATTCACGGAAAACTCGCCGCCCGCAACTTTTGACATCTCTCTCTCTCTCTCTCTCTTTCTTACTACGCGTCTCTGTCTCTCTTCGCCTCGAAAATAAAGCGCGATAATCTCGTTTTTTTCTCTCCTTTCCGCGTCTCCCGTGATTTTTTTTTCTTTTTTTGTGTGTAATAAAATTCCCCAGCGGATTTTACCCCCCTGGCGGCAAAGTGGAACAAAGCCCGGCGAAGTGCCAATGCGGACGTGTGACGCAAATTCCTATTGATTCACATCGCGAGGTTAATGCGACGACCTCCCGCGCACATCTGCCATGATTCCATTGAGATTTCACCTGGAAACGATCTCGCACACCTCGCTATCTCGACCGTTGGCTAGGAAAATCGGAAAATCGCTCATGCCCCGACGAGCTTTGCAGTCAACAGGAACCAGACGCGATACACACCTACACACAAAACAGGCACACAGATACTACATACGAGCAAGACGTTACTACGCACAATTATCCTCGGCATCCAATCGCGAATCCCCCGGAAGGGAACATTTAGAAAATCGATGCTCCGCACGCTCTTTCCTCCGCTGGCGGATCGCCGTATGGGTGAATGACCTTATCGGTTTCGACCGTTAGGCGACTACGAGCGAAGGACCCTAGGCCCTTATCGCGCGACGAGATATTTATTGCCGTCTATTTACCGTCTTGCAGAAGCGAGCCTCGGCCCATCGTTCCTGTGTCCTCGCCAGTGTGCGCGATTATAGGTACATTGCGGTAACCTCCTATCTTAAACGATGAATCGCAGGTCGCAGGAAGATACGGGAATCAACAGCAAAGCGGCCGATCTGCTCTCGGCCGCGTATGAGTCATCCGAGTCGTACGGCCGCTCGTGAGTCGTTTTGAGCTCGGCGTAGGTCGATCGGCGTGGCCGAATACTTGAGGGGGGCTTCACTACGTCGGAGCAATTATGATCGCAACTATGATCGTTCGCTCACACGGCAAGTCTCCTTCGGCATCAATTCGAAAACGCTCGGACGAAGAGGGAAAACGACGAGCTAAAACGTTATTATCTTTCGCCACCTCACTGGCCGCACGTCTCCCTCCGATCGACGGAACGAGGCCTCTCGCTTGGAGAAGAAAAAAAAAAAAGTACGTTTTAGGCGAGAGTCTAACTCGCGTTTTGACCTTGAACGCGCGACGATTTACGGCGTAACGTAGCGTGACGCGTTCGGCCGTTCTCGAAGATTCGTGGATTACGTCACCAGAACGGTCGTACCGGAACACGATCTATCGAGTATCTATCGGCGGGCACGAAGAAACCCCGCCATTAATCCGCGATTCTAGTTCGGATCCCGCGCGACGCCGAGGGTCCACCCCGCGCCCCTCGCGGGGGATCACGACGCACCGAGCACTTTCGGTGAAAGAGGGGCGCCACGACGCCCGAGGACCGGTAGTAGCGGTATTGCATGGAGCACTGTGGGACGTGCCATGAGCGCGATTCATCATTTATTACATATACATATACGTATTTATATACGTGTACACGCGCAACTCGGAAAACTCATAATAAATGCCCGGGGAAAATTGTCTTTCTCACGCTGTGCGTCTCTCCTCGTCTCGCCTCGCCTCTTCCTGGTCCCACGATCTCGCGGTGTGCCAGTCCGCCCTGAAATCCGAACGAGGCGACCATTTCCGAAATATCCTTTCGCCCGTCCGTCCGTCCGCCCGCCCCTCTTTTTTCCCCTCTTTGGCGTAGGCCGCCCGCGCGAGGAGCGCGACAGCTAATCGCGCTCGTGCGCGATCTAATTGCGACGGACGCGAAGGGCGAGCCGACGCTCTCACCCAATGGCCGCCGTTACGTGGCGCCGTGGCGAGAAATCCGGGCTTCTCGTTGCTCCGGACTCTCATTGCCGGACGTCGTTCTCCGTCGCGTCACACCGCGAAATTCCGCGACACCGTCGCGGTGGCACGATCGATTTTTAATTACGCGAGTTACCCTTCCTCCTATTTTCCATATTGGCTATATCGCTCGTGGATTGCATCTCGTATGGTCGTTTTTTTTTTGTAGTTGAATCAACGTGCACTTGTACTTAAGAATGAAATATGTATTTGACGCGATTAATATTCGCGTAAAGGCCCGAATGCAGGAAAACGGAAAACAAACCTCTGATATGGAAGCTGCGCGACGCGAGTCGAGCTTGTATTTCCTTCGAGCATCTCCCGTTCGATGCTCGACGAAAAAACCATCGAAACGAATCATCGACGGCGGGGGAGCGGGGAACGCTTTTAGTTTCTCTCACGGCATCGCGCAGGTGCTTCAAGAGCGACCCCGACGAGAAAGTCGATCAATCGTCCACGTCTCGGGATGTCGCTCATAAAAATCCTGTTGCTAAGCGAATAGCCTCCACACAAATGGTGGCGTAGCCACGGCAACACTGACAATGGGAACTCAAACGCAAAAAGGAGTAAACGGGGAAAAACAATCTCTGAGAACTCGACTGATTTCCAAATTGGTTGGGGACTCGGAGAGGGGGAGGGGAAGGAGGTCCGCTCAGAATACGACATATGTTCCAAGATCAATTTCAATTTCACGGACGAGACGACCTCGTCGAGACCTCGCGCGAAGGGGGTCGGCTCGAGTTCCAAGCGTTCCCACGGATTCCGGAATCTACACGATTTTTCTACGGAATTCGCGGGACGAGATTCTCGATCTGGTCCCGGCATGTTCGTTCATGCCACGTCGTTTCGCACTTCAAACGCAGACAACCGCCTCGTCATCGCGATCCGTAAACACTGTCCACACATTCACGGGGGTGGATTCGCGGATTCGATTCTGGGGTTTTCGAATTCGGCTCAGGTCGAACGGATCTCGAGAAGGCAACGTGGATTCCATCCAAATGCGGGAAAAGAGAATATCTCGGTGCGTATCAGTCGCACCTCCTTCACGGCAATTCGCCATATTTTCTTTCTCTTGCCATTTGCAGCGTGTGCCCTCTGGTGTGTAGAAGCATAGTAACTAACGTTCAGCAAAAAAAGTAGCTTTGTAATTGCTTTGTAACATGATTGGTTCTTCTTTTTTATTAAGTCTAAATGTATATATAATTCAATGATATTAAAAAATCTTACAACAGTTGGAAAATTGCTTTTTCTGTTGAATGTAGACAGAATGTAAATAGATAGACACATGTGTCGATATTTTTGAATTCTGTCGGTCACGTGACCATTTTATCATATTAATATTTGAAAATTCGGAAACGAATAAAGATGCCAATTCGTGTTAATGCTCGATGTTCATTTTTAGCCTGAAAATAGATCACGTGATCGAAGTGGACGCAGAATAGTAAAATTTGAATGGTCACTTTAGTCACATGATCTATTTTGACGTTGAAAAATATCAGCAGCCAATTTGGAAGCGAAAAATGACATACAACAAAAGCTTTGCGAATTTTTTAGCTTTGTTGTTTAATTTTTCCCTACAACATAATATTTGCCTAATTTTGAAATTGTAAAATTCACAGGAAATTAATATATCCGATATATTACGTAGAAGTGTAAAAAAATTCTTGAAATAGCAGATTATTTTTCAGCGATGCTCAAACGGCTATGATAACTAAACAGATTAATTATTTCAGGAATTTTTCTATATTTCTACGTCACACATTTAATATGGCTGCGACGAGAGAGCCTTAAAGCAATAAGTGCTAACATAGCACAGCATCAGCCTTATCATTTCCGATTAAGGGTCGGCAGGAGTGACGGGCTAACTCCGACTTGATCTAAAATGATTATCTATTCTTTATTTACAGTGCAGATATGTATTTGTACTCAATTATATTTTGTCTTATAGAAATGATGTTTCGTCATGAAACTTTGCTAAGATAATTTCTTTTACAATTACGAAGGTACCTACAGAATCAATTTTGCAATTTAGCTCTTAAATAATTAAAATAAATGTAACTATCTACTCCTTATTTACAGATGTATATTTGAGTACACCCATATTATCTCGTAGAAGCAATATTCTGCCATGAGTCTTTTTCTACGTATTTTTTATAAAATTATGATTCTTGCTACAGAGCAGAATTTTGCAATTTGGCTCTTAAAAAAAAATTTATTATAATAGATGAAAATATTTGCACCTTATTGTCCTATAGTGCAAATCTATTTACGCATAAAATGAATTATTTATTTTCACACATTTTTCTTACAAAAATCACTCTGTAGCTTTCGTCAGGCAAATATTCTGATTATAAATATAATTATATAGCTTTGCCGATTTGCTTTTCTCGCAGTATTTTGACCGTAATATGGATGAAAAGGAATTCATCTCCGATAGAGGTCTCCACAGTCTCTCCGCTGTCCCTTAATTTTAATGACTAATTACATTTAAAAATTTAAATATTTTATCTTATTTTCTCGAAACATATTAGTCTAATATTCTGATTTCTTTTTTATCGATAAAAGTGCCTTTAAAATTACTCATAGCCAATTAGAAGGCTTATAAACTACTTTTAAAGATATTTTTATCAATAAAAAAGGATTTAGAATATAGACTATTAGAGTTATTTTTTTTACTTGAACTTTTGGTACCATTTATCTTTTTTTTCTCCACATTGGACAAAAAAAGAGAAAAGATGAAGGATACAAGTTCAACTAAAAGTTCAACTAAAAAGAACTAGCCTATTATTGATTTCTTATAGTATCATAGTAACTTATAGTATCTTTGGAATAAATGACAATTCAAATTTAAATTTAATTTTCAAACGTACTTACCGTAAATACAGTGACTTCAAACGCGATCTATGGTGGTTCACTTTTAATCCTCATATTGGATCAACTGTACTCAATAAAATGGGGTAATGTGTGTGATTCCGTTGGTATTACGTGTTCTCCATTTAAGATGCCTTCTGTTTAAGGTTCTGCGCACAATGGAGCAAATATTAGGAATAGGAATAATAAATAATAAATTTTGAAAATAAAAAATTGGAATAAAAATTAAAAATAACGCACATCAAGTATATATAAGATATAGCTATATCTAATCTTTAATCTTCCTAATTTTAAGCTCTTAATTTCACAACAAATGTAATTTTGATAAATGTAAATTCCAAAATTTAACACGATGTAGTAAATGTTATTACAATTTAAAAATGCATAACATACCTTTCGACTCTAGTTTGAGCCATTCTCAGTGTATACAAAAAATAAAGGTAGAATATCGTGTTCATCCGACATGCTCACTAATGTTAATTTCGCTAACTCGAATTATCAGTAATTCGAACTAGAATCGAAACGTATGTTATGCATTTTTAAATTGTAATAAAGAATATAAATTGCGCACTGTAAACAGCGCTGATTCTCATTGTCCGTTTACTACATCGTATCTAATATCGAGAATCATCTTATTAATATCAAAATTCAACATTTATTCCTATTCCTAATATTCCCTCCATTATGCATTAGGATTTACATTCGTACCATGTGCCTGTTTAATATTTGACACCAAAGATAAAGTGATTCGAAAAACGTTGCCTGCGTCAAACACATCTCTGATTGGCCGATTTGCATTTGGAGTCTAGTCTGGTAGAAAGAAGTTTAAAGAAACAGACATATGTCTATTTTTTACTGTTTATTAATTTTAATATCGGTTTAATTTACTCTTTATCCTCCTCTAATCTGTAAAATTAAAAAAGATAAAAAATGAAATCGAGATTAAAAAGTTAATCTATATCATTAGAAATGAACATAATCGTTAAAATCATTCAGAGATATACATAAAAGGTGATGACCGAAAAGTTAAATAAATCTTAATAAAATTGATCGATGACTCAGCTTTGAAATTTTGAAGATATGTTAATATCAAGAAATTGTGAAAATACATTGTCAGTCCACAAAATAATTCTTCCAATTAATTATCTTCCAATTTCATGAGCGAATGATATCAGATAAAAATGTTTTAAATTCGACTTTAATTTTACAGACCCTTTTGTCACGTATGAAATGATGGGGATAATAATTGCAGCTTCTTGAATTTATTTGTGACATTTTCTTTCTCGACTTCACGTAATATAATATTCAGTAACTTTATTTACAAGTAATCGATCCAGTGCAGAGAGACTAAACGTACTTTAGCATTTGCTCGGGAATCGATTTATTTACAAAAATGTGTTTTTCGACTTACGGAACAACCCTTAAGTCCGCGAATGCATCGGACAAGTGTCACGTTTGCAAATATCTTCCATTTAATGAAAGCAGAAGTATAATCAATGCGATTGCATCTTATAAAAAGATTCAAGTGAAAGTCTCCCCTCGTAGCCCTCCGCCCCTCGCGCATCTCGGTAATAATTTTCTACTTTGCCTCATCTTCTACCAAATATTGGCAAGTAAGCTTCGTCATTGTCATCCAAGAACATATAAAGATGAATGTACAAATGAATGCGATACACTCATGAAACTTAGCAATATTTTCTCTCAACATTTGAAAAATGGAGGATTTTACTCCAAAATGACGTTACGCCAATAAAGAAAGGAAGTACGGAGCCAATAAAGAAACGTGAAGTACGAAGCCTTCAAATTTTCATTTCAACATTAGAACGATCGGCTCTCGACGTTTTCACTCGTTCCGCTTCAATATTTAACAGTAAAACATCTCTAAAATGAAATAAAAATTGCAAGAGAAAAATGAACTTTTGTAAAAATTACAAAAGTATTGAATCGATTTAATTATCTTAATCACAATCGATGTTATGATTGTTTTAGCCGATCATTCTTATGTCAAAATATCTTTTATTGTTAACTGAACCTTATTAAAAAATAATGGAAAAATGGTTTCATTATTTGTGTCTCTATCGACAAATTGATTTTTACATCATATATATATATATATATATATGATGTACACATACATACATACATATATATATTAAATTTATCTCGGTACTTCGCATTTCTTTTCAAAATAACGTTGGCATAACAAGAAATTCCAATCTCTCCCTCACTCTCGCTCGCTCTCTTTATAAATTTGAAACATTATACGGTTTCCGGTGTAACACTGGCGTTCAGATATCATATGATTTAAATTTCTTTCACTTTTCGTTCCAATATGCTTTGTACACTCATGGACGCTCGGGATAAGCCTACAGTTCTACATCGGTCCGAAATACAATCTGAACAATCGATTTGTTTGCATGATAAGAAACATCAATAAGCGGCAATACAAAAACAAAACCTTCTCTTCTTTCTTTCTGTCGTGCGCGTTTACGTACAAGTATCGTTTGCTATACAATGCATTTTCCTCGAACGCAACGAGAACATTTTTACTCTAATGTTAGAGTCCCATAAGCCGTCTTGCATTTTTCGAAATTTCGCGACTTGTAAAATTCGTAAAATGTTATTACGAATGATTTACATGTGACATTCGTAATCGTATTATCTATGTGCAAGTTGCTGTCAACATTCATCTTTCAATATTATATGTATATATATAAAATATATATATCTTTTTACATATTTTATATATATCCCATTATATTTAACACAATACATATTGATATATCGATTAAGAATCTAGATTGTTAAATGTGGATTACAAATATACTGTTGCATATTGAAAAGATAAAAAAAGCCATTATTCATAAAATATTATCATATTGGAAAGAATTCTCTTTATATATTGAATAATAAGCGCACAAAAAACCGTTTATCCTTATTTACATAAATAAAATGCTTAATTGGATAACCAGATCCAGCGTGAGAATAAATGCGTGAATGCAAATCAATATTTGTGGCACTATCGCAAATAATGTTTACATCTAACATAAAATACTTTGATCACACATTTTTTTTATCAAAATTATAATGCTTATAGTACTATTAGGATACTTCTCGTAGTATGTATTACACAAACCTGAGTTTGTCATTTTATGTGCAAGCATAAAATAATTATAGAAATAACTAAACTTTATTTTCATCTTAAAATTTTAAATATGTAAATTTACTTCGCGTTTCTTATATTTTCCGTATAATTATATATGGTTGTCAAGAATAAGGATTATCATGTATGCAATAAAGTAAACTATATGAATAGTTAATTAATGGTAAAAAAAAATTAAAGTATGCAACTTGTTTATATGTCATATAATTAAAAAAAAAAATAAACAAATATTACGTTTCCATAAAATAAAAT